ACAGGCCAAAATAGCATCAATTTTCATCCAATTTGGCTATTTTAAAACCGGTTTTGACAAGACTACGAAATAAATAAATATTGATAAAATGTGGTCATTTTTTGACTTATTTTGACGAAATCCCAATAAATGAGAGATTTTCTCACACAAAAACGTAGTAAATCCTTCTAAATAGATAAAAATAAGGCCAATTTCGATCAGATTTGGTAATTTTTTGTGTTGTTCTTGCTCAAAAAAAGCTAAATCCTTGAAAACAGGCCAAAATAGCATTAATTTTAAAATAATTTGATTATTTTTGACTACTTTTGACGAAATTACAAGAGAATAATAGAGTTTCTCACTCAAAAACGACAAAAATAACGCCGATTTCGATCAAATTTTATAATTTTACTCAAAATTACGTCAATTTTAAAATAATTTGGTCATTTTTCGAATTGTTTTTACGAAATTACATGAAATAAGAGAGTTTTTTTACTCAAAAATGGGGTAATAGGACTCGAAACAGACCAAAATAATTCCGCTTTCAATTAAATTTGGTGATTTTTCCTCTTATTTGGGTCAAAATTCTCGAAATAAATGAGTTTCTCACTCAGAAAAAATCAGACTAAAATAGCGACAATTTTAAAATAATTTTACGAAATTACAAGTAAATAAGATACTTTCTAACTTAAAAACGACGGCCAATTTTGATCAAATCTGGTGATTTTTCGTCTTGTTTGGACAAAATCTCAGGAAAAAAAGTGTTTCTCGTAAATAAAATTTTCATCGGTGTCTTTTTATTTTGCAGGTTGATAATTGGGCCGATAATGAAGCGTTGAGAAAGCCCAGTCACAATCAGCGGCCCTCATATCGCCGCTCTTTTTCCGAACTCCCCACATCCCAGAATCTCCACGTCCCGAATATAAATCGCCGAAGTCTCGGAAACGAAGTTCTGGAGTCGGTTTTTCCAAAATCGAGCACTTCAATGACCGACATACAATCCTCTCAACATTCCTTCGACGGCATTACGACTAGATATAGTAATCTTAATTTGAATAGAAGTACAAGTGATATTACGTGCAATGAAGGTGCCACTGCCACCACTCTATACACCTACATTGGCATTTCGGAGCCGGATAAAGACAAAACACACATTTATGAGAATCAAGGAATCGTCAATGCTCATAAAAAAGGCGATTTTGATAGTGAACAACACGATAAAATGTAAGTTTTATATTATAATTTTTTTTTTGAATAGGTGTTAATCAAGTTTGAAGATTGCAAGCACTGAAATCTGGAAGCAATACATTTGGCACAAATTGGCCGTTTGATAAACGAAAATGGACATGTCGGCAATGCTCTTTTGCCTACAACGATTTTAATAATTTCAAGTGCGATATTTGTAAAGGGCCCAGGACTAGACCTTCGTTGAATGAACCTTGCACTGTGACGGTTACCGAGGACAGGAGTAGTGCATCAACGCCATTGTAAGTTGAAAAAAATATAGATAAGTACTTAGATTTTCGATCTTATCTCAGTTCGATTTATTAATTCGGTCTAAATAGAGCGTGAGTGCCATCACCATGTTCTACAGGTAATAAAATTCAATTTCACAAATTGAAATTTAGTCGTTACAACAAGAAAAAGTTTGAAAGTAATATTGGGCAAACTTATTGATTTTCGATTAGAATGACTTAATAAATTTTCAATTACAAAAATGCTACAGATAAGCCGAATTAAAGCTTTTTATCTCTTGCAGGGTTTAACACCTACGTAATATTCTGTTGTTTTGCAAAAAAAAAAAAAAACAAATCAAAACCTCAAAATATTTTTGTGTGCAATTAATTGCTAAATATAGACACAAAGTAAAATAATTTTGATTATTGAAATTTTGAATTTCGTGGTCAAAATAGTGACGTAAATCGCTCGAAACAGAATTAAAATAACAGCAATTTCGATCAAATTTGGTCATTTTCCAAATAACAAAATTTTACTCAAAAACTGGGTAAATGCTCGAAACAGACCAAAATGTTTTTACGAAATTACATGAAATAAGAGAACTTTTTTACTCAAAAACGGGGTAAATTTCTCGAAATAAATGAGTTTCTCACTGAGAAAAAACAGGCTAAAATAGCAACAATTTTATAATAATTTTACGAAATTACAAGTAAATAAGATACTTTCTCACTTAAAAACGACAAAAGTAAGACCAATTTCGATCAAATTTGGTGATTTTCCGTCTTGTTTGGACAAAATCTCAGGAAAAAAGAGTTTCTTGTTCAAAAACAAGTCAAATCACCAAAAAAAAAGCATCAATTTTTATAATAATGTGGTCATTTTTCGGATTGTTTTGACGAAATTTCATGAAATAACGGAATTTTTTTACTCAAAAACGAGGTACATTGTTCAAAACAGATCAAAATGACTCTAATGTCGATAAAATTTGGTTATTTTTCGTCTTGTTTGGGCGAAATCTCGCAAAATAATTGAGTCTCTCGTTCAAAATGAAGTAAATTTCTCGAAACAGGTCAAAATAGCATCTATTTTCATCCAATTTGGCTATTTTAAAACTAGTTTTGCAAGATTTTACGAAATAAGTAAATATTGATAAAATGTAGTCATTTTTATGACTTATTTTAACGAAATTCCATGAAATAAGAGATTTTCTCACACAAAAACGTAGTAAATCCTTCGAAATAGACAAAAATGAGGCCAATTTCGATCAGATTTGGTATTTTTTTGTGTTGTTTGGACGAAATCTTACGAAATACGTGAGTTTCTTGCTCAAAAAAGCTAATTCCTTCGAAACAGGCCAAAATAGCATTAATTTTAAAATAATTTGATTATTTTTGACTAGTTTTGACGAAATTACAAGAGAATAAGAGAGTTTCTCTCTCAAAAACGACAAAAATTACGCCGATTTCGATCAAATTTTATAATTTTACTCAAAATTGCGTCAATTTTAAAATAATTTGGTCATTTTCGAATTGTTTTGACAAAATTGCATGAAATAAGAGAGTTTTTTTACTCAAAAATGGGGTAATACGGCTCGAAACAGACCAAAATAATGCCGCTTTCAATAAAATTTGGTGATTTCTCCTCTTATTTGGGTCAAAATTCTCGAAATAAATGGGTTTCTCACTCAAAAAAAAATAAAATAAAAAAAATAGCGACGATTTTAAAATAATTTGGTTATTTTTTTGACTTGTTTTGACGAAATTGTAAGAATATGTGAGTTTCTCACTCAAAAACGACAGAAAATAGGTCAATTTTTCCTCTTGTTTGAACACAATTTGACGAAAAAAATAGTTTCTCGCTTAAAAACAAGCTAAATAAATGCCTCAAAATAGCATCAATTATAAAATAATTTGATAATTTTTCGAATTGTTTTGACAAAATTACATGAAATAAACGGAGTGGATTTCTAAAAACAGACTAAAATGATTTCAATTCCGATAAAATTTGGTAATTTTTTTGTCTTGTTTGGACAAAATCTCACAAAATAAATGAGTTTCTCTCTCAAGAAAAGCTAAATCCTTCGAAACAAGCCAAAATAACGCCAATTTTGAAAAAAATGGTGTTTTTTGTTGTTTGAGCGTTTCTCACTCAAAAACAACAAAAAAAGGGCCAATTTCGATCAAATTTGCTGATTTTTCTTGCTTGCTTGGCCGAAATCTCACGTTTCTCTCTCAAAAACAAGCTAAATGTAAAGACCAAAGTATATTTCGTAATTTTTCGGCTGAAAGTGTTTAAACATTGTTTAAAATTGAATAAACTAACCAAAAAAAAGTTCCTGAAGTAATGTATTAAAACATTCTGTACAACTCATTGATTTTCGCTAGATTAACATCCAACAACAGTGTGTTTATTTTTATTAAAAAAATGCTTGTTTAAAAAAATAGTTTGTTTACATAAAATTTATGAACTGTTTATTTATACACATCTGTGATCAATGGGAATTACAACATTAATTTTTTAGATAAAATTGTTTCAAAATTCCGTTAACAAAATTAATAAATTTAACGAAGTTGAATAATAAATTACGTAATTTCTTTAGGTCTTTGAACTGGAACGACACGATGGAGGTGCAGGTGCCCCTGGCGACGCTGGATCAAGACCTAGAGGACGATTTCCAGCTCCTTCCAGGTACCCCCAACTCACTCGATAACAAAAACAAGTCATTAGGACTTTTTCTAGGCGATGACAGTCCAGTGGACGACCAGAAATGGACTTGTAAGAAATGTACACTCGTAAACAGTGGCCGTTCGTTAATTTGTGAGGCTTGTTGCGGGTCAAAACTGCGTTCAGTTTCGATGACTAGCGATATGACATTAAGGAAAGGCGAATTTTGGTCTTGTACAAAATGTACGCTGAAAAATCCGTTAACGGCGCCGATTTGTAAAGCCTGTAAGACTGAGAAAAATAGTTTAAATCCATCTCCTCGTCACGGTTCATCCAAAAAGTACAATAAAAGCTCGTATCATAGTCAGAAAGTCGTCAAAACTCGAATCAATCTAATGACGGATTTAGATCGTAGTCGAAATAATGCAATTAAAGCGTGGCAGTGTATGATTTGCACTTTTGAAAATACGAAATCTCAAATTATCTGTGATATGTGTCAGAAAATCCGCGAAGATATTAGGACCACGCCTCCTGAGGAGCCGTCAAGGTTAAGTCAAGAGGAATTAGCCAATAAGCATTGGAATTACATTGTGAGATATTGCAAATTGAAGAAGCAGAGTTATGTTGATGAATCTTTTCCCCCATCGCCGACTAGTCTTTATTACAATCCATCTGAAGTCAAAGACGCTCACACGGTTAAATGGAAACGACTCAGAGATATAACAGTGGATGACGGCCCCGATTCGGATCTAATTTGGGCCGTATTCAGAAAACCGCATCCTTCTGATATCTCTCAAGGAGTTTTGGGCAACTGTTGGCTTTTGAGTGCCTTAGCCGTGTTGGCAGAACGCGAAGACCTCATCAGAGCTGTTTTGGTAACGCGAGATTTTTGCCATCAGGGAGTTTATCAAGTTAGACTTTGCAAAGATGGCAATTGGACCACTGTTCTCGTTGACGATTATTTCCCATGTGATAAAAAAGGACACTTGTTTTATTCGCAAGCAAAACGGAAACAACTTTGGGTTCCCTTGATCGAAAAAGCCGTCGCTAAAATCCACGGCTGTTATGAAGCTCTAGTTTCCGGACGTGCAATCGAAGGTCTAGCGACACTCACTGGGGCACCTTGTGAATCTATTCCTCTTCAGGCTTCTTCGATTCCGGCTCCTGCCGAGGAGGAACTCGACACTGATCTCATTTGGGCACAGTAAGTGCACTTTTATGTCTAGGATCAGTGATGCCAGATTAGATTAAGCGCTTGTCCCTAGATTGTAGCTTCTAAATTCCCTACTTAAAAAATTGAAAAGATACCTACTATTTCATAGGCCTATTTTGTTGAGGTAATATAATATAAATACAACATAAAACTGTGTTAACTCCAAACAACAAAAAATCAATAAATAATATAACAATAAATTGAAATAAATTTTACTAAAGAAATAAAAAAAAGCCAATTAAAACAAATTCAAATAAACATGTATATTCAGATACCTACTTAATTTTTATTTATACTTATAAATCATGGGATTTCATTAATTTTAAATATTCATCTAAAACATTAAATGAACTGCAATAATTAGTAAACTTGGCAACGCGAAAAACGCAAACGGCTTTTAGTTATATTGTTTTTTTTGTCTTTACACAACTACAGAAAATACATTTATGGTTTCCCCGTTTAAAAAAAAAACTTTAACAATTTATTAAAAAAAAGTACTGACTAGAAAACAATTTTGTTTAATTAGAGGTCATAATTTAGATCATAATCTTTAATTGAAAAAATTACCATAGTGGGTTGCCATTTAAAAAAAAATTTTTTTTACAGAACTCGAAAACTAAAAGAAATTTCGAAAAATGTTATTCTTGATAAATGGTCACATTTTAATTGGACTTTACGCTACACTAATTATTTTTTTTGTAAAGTGGTTAGTTTACGAAAAATACTTTTTATTCACCTGGTATGTATACAAATGCGCTAACTTGGCGAAGTTACAATATTCATATTAAAGATTTTTGAAATTTTTGAAACTGTGCCAGCAATGTGAAAAAAATTGAGATTTTCACTGAAAATGTAAAAAATCCCTAGATTAAGAAAAATTGAAAAAATCCCTTTTTCCCTTTTTGTTAGAAAAATCCCTAGAACTAGGGAAAAATTCCCTAATCTGGTATCACTGACTAGGATACGACACGATGTAAAACAAAACGTCCCCGTTCTCGATAGTTCCGTTAGCGAGGCCAGATGGCGCAGTTGTTCCTTTCCCGTTCAAGTTTTAATTAAAAAAGGGCTGTATTTACATAACGGTGAGCAAAACGCAAATAAAAAAATAAAGGCAGATAGAACATTAAATTCTCAATAATAAGAGATAAAGGTTATGCAAAAATTTTATTGAAAACTATATTTAAAAAAATTCAAACATTTAGCAATTTGCGCCCCGTCTCATATTTTTCAAAATGCTACGATACAAGAAAAATATAAAAAAGAAAGTTGTAGAGAATGAAATTTCCGAGATGATACCTCTATCTTCAATGGTTTAGATATGGTTTCGCGGACTTTTTTGTAGGAAATTTAATTCTCTACAATTTTGTATCCAACACTTTTTTTGTATCTTCAACCGTATTCGCAGCGTTTTCAAAAATATCGAAAACAGTGTTAAATAAACAATTATCAGTTTGCGTTCCGCCCAATATTTTTAAGAACGCTGCGAATATGGTTAAAGATACAAAAAAAGTGTAAGAAACAAAATTGTAGAGAATAAAATTTGCTACAAAAAAGTCCGCGAAACCATATTTCTATCTTCAACGGTTTAGGTTTAAATTGCTTTAAAATGTTCCTCTGGCACCAGTAAAAATGCAACGAATCCGTCGCTTGAGCGGCTTTGAAAGTCTTTGAGGCCTAAACCTACACTATGTCACGGACTTTTTACGAGAAAATTTTATTTTCTACAACTTCCTTTCTTACATTTTTCTTGTATCTTTAACCGTATTCGCAGCATTTTGAAAAACATGAAACGGAGCACAGATTTTGAATTTTAAATATTTTTTTTCTCATATTCCTCGTGAAAAATTTAGTGGTTCGTTTTTTACAGCTTATTAAGAATATAAAGCTCAACATTTTTGCATTCTTTTCCAAGCAATTAGTAAAGTGGTTGAATTTAAATTAATTAAAAACAATTTGAAACTGATTTTTACTCCGCCGTACTACTTTTTTTGGGTCCAAAAAATCAAGCAATTTTGTATCTCGTTTCGTCTCCTAGTATGTAGTTCTCCGTAGTCCCACGAAAAAAAACAATTACCGTTTCAGACTTCTGTCTTCACGTCAGGCACTTTTTTTGATGGGGGCGTCGTGTGGCGGCGGCAATATGAAAGTCGACGAGGTGGAGTACCAGAATAAGGGGCTCAGGCCGCGCCATGCCTATTCTTTGTTAGATGTTAGAGATGTGGATGGCTATAGACTCCTGAAATTGCGAAATCCCTGGGGGCACTTTGTGTGGAAGGGCGATTGGGCGGACGCTTCAGACAAGTGGACGCGAGCCCTTCGCATGGAATTGATGCCCGAAGGGCCCCAAGATGGCACCTTTTGGATTTCCTTCGGTGATGTTTTGAAATACTTCGATTGTATTGATATTTGTAAAGCACGGAATGGTTGGAACGAAGTTAGACTTTCGGGTGTTTTACCACCACTTTCCTCACAGAAACACTTGTCTTGTATTTTGCTCACGATTTTGGAACCCACTGAAGTCGATTTRACACTTTTTCAAGTYCTTACTATCTATTTTCCAATTTTMTTTTGTTAATTTTGTCTTCTAGGAGGGTCAACGCAAGTCGGAAAAATCWCAACGCTCTCAGCTCGATTTATGTGTCGTTCTTTTTAAAGCACGAAACGGTTCAACAATCGGTAGTTTAGTCGAACATAGTAAAAGACAAGTGCGTGGTTTCGTTGGTTGTAATAAAATGTTAGAAGCTGGAGAATATGTTGTTGTACCTTTAGCATTTAATCATTGGCATACTGGCCTAGAAGACCTCACTGCATTCCCAAGGTACTACAAAACCTGTCACTGAATTATTTCTAGCTCTTTTTTAGATATGTTTTAGCCATTCACAGTTCCAAGAAATTACTAGCTGAACAACTAACTCCTCCTGATTGTATTTTGGCCGATTCGATAATTTCCTTAACATTGGCACGTGGTCAAAGACATGAAGGTCGCGAAGGTATGACGGCGTATTATTTGACCAAAGGATGGGCCGGTTTGGTTGTGATGGTCGAAAATCGACATGAAAACAAATGGATTCATGTGAAATGTGATTGTCAGGAAAGTTATAACGTGGTATCAACACGTGGTACATTGAAAACAGTGGATTCTGTGCCTCCTTTGACACGACAAGTCATTATAGTTCTAACACAACTTGAGGGTAGTGGCGGTTTTTCTATAGCCCATAGACTTACACATAGACTTGCAAACTCACAGGGTTTATACGATTGGGGGCCTCCTGGCACTTGTCACGATCCGGAATTAGATTATCAAACCAGCGGGTTGCATATGCCTAGGTTGTTTTAATTATATCGTTGTTTCGTTTTTATATTTTCAAATATTTCACAGTTATGGCCTAAATGTGTCATTTGTTTAGTAATCTCAATTCCTTATTGCAATGTTCAGTTTTATGACGTATAAATGTTTGTTTGGTGTTTAATAGAACATGCTTTTTAGATTGTGTAAAATCGTACATTGTTAAGAATTAAAGTAAGCTTTCAAGTAAATTTATTTCAATTCATTCAACAACACAAACATATATTAAACACGTTCAGCAAATCTAAATCTTAGTTTCTTATTAGGCGCAGCCCATAGTTTGTTGGTACTGTTGATATCGCCATAAAGATACTCAATCTTAAAGTTCCTTAAAATCTTCAAGAGAAATCACATTTAATGACATTTAACAAAATTTTTTTGACTTACCTTAGTTATCAAAGCTCCAATTTGCATCTCGGCCAATTCCTTACCTAAACAAGCTTTAGCTCCATAACCGAAAGGAATCGACGCAAATAATTGCATATCATCAATGGGTGATAACCAACGTTCTGGCATAAATTTATGAGCATCTTCGAAATACTCTTCACGCCAACTTGACAAACTTGTCACCATCAATAAATAAGTTCCTCTCGGAATATGGTAGTTGTAAATTGACAAATCATCATTGAGGATACGCCCCAATAGGGGAATCGGTGGTTTGAGCCTTAAAGTCTCCTTAATACAGGCCTGAAGATAGGGCATTGCAGCCAAAGCATCTTTGGATAATTTCGCCGGTTGACGCGCAATCTCATTGTAGAGTTTCACTTGACATCTTGGATTTTTCGCTAAATGATACAACATAAATGCAATAGTGTGCGCCGTTGCATTTATCCCAATCAACATCATATCAAGCAAAATAGTCATTGCATCTTCAACCATAATTCCCGGCTTTAAAAGCACATTTTCCATCAAACAATTCACTTCTTTATTAACAGCATCGCCTTCTTTCTTCTCTTTAATCAAAAGTTGGATACGATGAACGTACTTGCTCAATACGTTATCAATCGCATCGCAGTTTTCCACAAGCGATTTCCATGCAGGTGTTGGGAGAAATTGCCACAAATGAAGCCCGTATTCGCATCGTTGGATCGCTTTAGTCGCTTTTATCAAGCCATCGAGGAGCACACCGGGATCCGATGTTGAACTCAGACCACAAGGATCCAAAAATCCCAATTTTTTATCCAACGTCACCAAACACATGCATTCCAGACACCATTTGTAGATTTCTTTCTGGAAGGTTCCAGGGACTTCCTCTTGACGGTTCCGGATGTTGGCAATCCGCGCGATGAATTTGTTGCAAGCGTCGTCGATTTTGTCGTATTGGCGAGCAATCAACTGCGGAAGGGGCTGTTCGATGGACTTGCGGAACTTTTCCCATTCTGGCCCAAACCTAACACAAGAATTTAAGGTTGAACTATATTGAATAAAAACAAGTCGTCCTCAAAAATTCTGAAAAATAGCATAACTTTTTCATGGTCTTAGCAACAATATACAGTATATCCCCGGATTGAGTTCCAAGGGATAAAAATATCTTTGATTTTACGCCAAAAGTACTTCACTTGAAACGAGCAAATCTACAGGTGTTCCATTTTTATTCTTATAAATTTAAAAGGAGATAGAATATTCAATTTTAAGATAAAAGTTTCCTATGAACATTCTTGAAAAATACTATGTTTTAATAGATTTTGTGTAATATTTCAGAAACCATTTTAGATAAAAGTAAAAAATTTGGTACAGTTGATTACCTTTATGTCGAAATTTTTAATCAGGGGCGTCCTAAACTGGGGGGTTTTGGATAAAAAGCACTGTAAGAACAACAAAATTCTAAATCTCATAGTTTTTTACTAAAAAGAGGTATCTTGCGTTTTTTCGCTATAATTTACCCTTTTTGAGTAAAATCTTTCTAATAATAATGTTACACTTGTTTTGTGGTGTTTTTTACCGAAAAAAAAAATGGTCAAGTTTGGTCGAAAATCATATTTTTTTTTAAAACGTTTTAGATACGTTTTTTAAGATAAAAACTCAAATTTTGAATAAGACTTTATCGAGACAAGATAAAATCACGAAATTAAATCGAAAATATATTTTTCACTTTCTCAAGCGTTTAAGAAAGTTCTTCAGCCAGAAATGCAATTTTTTTGCAAAATTTTGACCGAACCAGTTGAAAAATCGACAAAAATTGTGCTATTTTTGCTTTCTTAAGCAGTTAAATACATTTTTGAACTAAAAACTTCTTTTTTTCGCAAAATGCTGCTAAAATAGTCCACAAAATCACTAGATTCAAATTATCGTTCTATTTTGGTCTGTTTCACTGGATTTAGTTTGGTGACCTAAAAACCTACTTTTTTTCAAAAAAATTCATTCACAACCAAAAAACCACGAAGTTAGTGCACCTTTTAAAGCGTTCAACATGTTTTTTGCAAAATTTTAGAAAAAAAAATGACCAAAAAACATTATTTTTGACTTTTTTAGTTAAAAATGCACCACTTTTTTTGTGACATTCTGTTCAAACAAGTCTTGAGATCTTCTAATTAGATAAAAAATGGTGTTTTTGCCATTTGTAAGTAAAAATCTTAATTGTTTTTTTTTATCAAAACATGCCCAAAAATTAATTAGGCAAAAAATTATTTTATTTTCATCTATTTTCAAGCGAATAAAATAATAATAATAATATAAATAAAATAATTAATAATAATAATAAAAGGTTTTCGAGCCAAAACTGATTTTTTTCACAAAATTTAATAAAAAATAGGTAAATTAGGGATCGAAAATGACATTGTTTTTGTCTTTTTCAAGTAAAATTTCACCCAAATGGGCCAAAAAATTAGCAAATTAAGTTGAAAATGGTATATTTTTTTAAACCGTGGGTTAGGATAAATATTACTCTAACTATTTTGGCTGAAATTTTTTGCCACTTTCAACAACAAAATTCTAAATTCCATAGTTTTTCACAGAAAGAGCTCTTTTGCGTTTTTCGATACAACCCCATTAAAAAACGCACCCTTTTCAGAGGGTTTGGCTCCTTTACAAAACATATTTTTTTATACATATTTATAGGACACTTTTGTCTTAAAATTGAATAATATTCAACCTGTTCAAATTTGTAACAATAAAAACGGAACATTCTGTATAATTAAAACTTCATTATTCTGACTCAATAGAAGAAACTTTTTTGGTAGAAAGGACTTCTATGTTCAGGGTGCTGCATTTTGGATGTCCAAATAGGGATTTATACATTCTGGAGCTCTTATTTTTTGAGAAAATAATATTGTTAAAATTGCATCCCGCTATCGTCTTTTGTTTTTGACTTATAGCCAGTTGATAAACTTGTATTTTTTTAAAATGGTAATCATAGATGGCTATGGCATTTTTTAAGTTTGTATTTTTCTTATCTTAAAAATATACCGCCTTGCAATAATTTCGTGCAGCATTGCTTCTGTTATAAGTTGGAGAGTAATAGATATACAAACAATAAGAGGAAGCGAGATAGATTATATACGTAGGCATAGTAACAACAAATTTTTTCGATTTGTCGCTGTATAGTTCGTCTTTCTCTTACTTTAGGAAACCCTATTGATTGCACTGTTTCAACTCAAGAACTTTGCAATGTTGCGTAAAATTATTGTTGTACTGTATATTTGTTTTTCTCTCCATATATCGTAGCATTTTTAAAAAGTTTTTTTTTCTTATCTAAAAATATATATTTGTTTTCCTGTCCATATATCATGGCAGTATTTCCATTAAATGTGCCATACAACAAATACAACTTTTTTTGCCGCTAAAGTTGTTTTTTTGAAAAGACCAAAATCGGAGCTTTCTCTCAACCTTCCACCATTCTGAGGACTAACATCTTGTGATCTTTTCTTTTTCTTTAATATATTTTTTTTAGTTTTAGTAAAAATTCATTTTGTATTATTTCTGGTATTTCTTCTTCCATTAAAACTTAAGTAAATTCTAGTTCTTTCATTTCTTTTTATGTATACGCTTTTTATACGTGCATTCATATAATTTCTTTATCGAACCATTTTCTTGGAAAGATTCTTTCTACTCTTCTTTCTAACACTGAAAAGAATTTTCTTGTTGCACTGTTTCCCCAAGTCTTGAAGCTAATTAGGTATAATAATTTATTGTAATTATATTCCATTACCTCTTTCTAAGTACGTATGAAACTAGAATTATGTCTTGAAAAAGACAGATTTTAACCACGAGACTAAGCACAAAAAAGCGGAGGGAGAACACAAGAAAACAAAAAGAAGACAAAAAACGAATGAATTTACAATTGTTGTAAACATATCAACCCCTTTTCCAAATTTTCTTGGAAATTAGTCCAATATCAAATAACAACCAACCCTTTTAAATAATAATTATTCCAACAGAAAAATAAGTCTTCAAGATGGCAGAATGTAAATATTCATGTTTAGTGTTACATCTTGAGAGAAGTTTTTTAAATTAAATTTGTTGATTCCTATAAATATTCTACTTCTAGAAAGAAAAATTAGAATTCAATGCAGAAACGACGTTTTTGGTTATATCTTTGAATTATATTGCATTTCTAAGTCGCAGTGGCCACTTCCCTGTGTCAATTTGTAAAAATTAAGTTGTGTAAATGCGACTTTAAACATCCAATTGTTTTTTAGGGACATATCTATCAAAAAAATGACAATTGTGAAAAAATCGGGTTAGAGTATACTCTTTTTTTTCATATTAATGTGCATCAAGTAGGTTGTAGAAGTCTAAATGCATCTTTAATTTAAAGGCTGATTTACACAAAAAGTGTCATTAATGTCATTCAGAACAAATTTAATCACATCAATAATGAGAAATGAAAAATGTTAATTGTGTTGTTAATTTTAATTATTTTTTGCTACCTGGGGTTTACATTTATTTAAAAAAATATTTTTTAGGGAAGATTAAGGTTAGGATTGTTTGAATTTTTGCATGGGTGCCACCTTAAAATGATCGCTTTCAGCGACTACTTCGATTTATATTAATTTGAAAAGGAGTATACTTCACATATAACATCTAGTGCGCCTGTCAAAATTGTTGACACAATTTAGTTATTACTATTGCCAACATAGACACAATCCATACACTAGAAGGGGCGGGCTAAGGGCTGCCAACCTTGCAATAAATTAAATGGCCGCTATGAATTGACCGATTTTTTGATAAAAAATAATGATAAAAGTATTAATTTATAATAGTTTGCCAACACAGCGGTTTTAAAAAATGTACTTTTCATATATGTTATTCTAAAATTTCAAAACTAAATTTTAAATAATAATGAAAAAAATTCAAGCCTTTTTAAGGTACTTTTAGACAAAAAACTCTTACATGAGGATGGGTCCAGTGTGTCTCAATTTCCTGTGTTGCAGCCGATATTTCTCGACAGAATCCAGACTCGAGCGAATTGGGTAAGGCCCCTCGTTCTTGAAGACAGCAGCAATGTGTTCCGGGCGACTCACCATCACAATATCGCCCCCTAGCGGCCCATGGAGTCGCACCACGGGGCCATAGTGGTCAAAAAATCGTTTAAAGAGTGCCATATTCCCACTCCAGCTCAGTAAACTACCTGTGAATACCCCAGTAGAGTTGAATTTTACATTTAGCTGCATTCGTACCAACTGCTAGCAAATACTGTATAGCCCCTCCTGTGATCTGCGTACTCAATATGGGGACCATGCCCCAAATCCGGTGAATAATTCGAAGACTGATTGGCCCCGGAATGTTATCAAACGCGATTGATTTCGATATTTGTTCGGCGACCATTTGGCGACTGATTGTGGAGGTGTCGACGAGGACGTCCATGTCGGGCTTCTGGAGACTGACCTTGACGGCGTCTTGGGGCACAGAAATGCTGGGTTTGCCTTCAAAAACGCACAATTAGACCCGAGGTTGGGGAAAATTGGTGAATTACCCGAAATTGTGAAAGCTCCCGGCGTGGGGGCCTGGGTCGCCGAGGCCGAAGTCGCAGAGGTTTTAGTGGAGTCATGGGCGAAATTCTTCAAGTTGAAGCGTCGCAGGATGCTAAAAGGCTGCGATTTTGCACGAAAAACTTGCACAATCGACATTTTTCACAAAATTTGAGTTTTTCAAACAGCGTCGGTTTAAGTGCTCAAAAATGTAATGGCGTTCCACAGGCCACTATACCGAAATTTACGGGGACCTAAAATTTCACATTTTCAACACGAATTCTAACAAGATAACTAATGTGTTGTCGTTAATTGTTAATAATAGTGCAAATTTTACCTTCAAATTGGGGTTTTTTAACAATTTAATGATTTAACCACAAATGGACGCTTCGGTTTTTCAAACAGCCTACTTAGCGCTCTTGATTTAAATTAAACTTGACAGAAACTTTTACTGTTAGAGGTTGGTACAACAAAAATGTTATTTACAAAGAATAAAATTAAGAGAAATACTTGAATGTTTATAAACGTAGCTTTGTGATTTATATGGCCTTGATTTTAACTAAAACACATTTACTTTTTTCTACATCAAATCTCAATTTAATTTTTGTGATTGTAATTAGTTTTTTTGAATTTAAACGAGTGGTCACACTGCGATTTTGTTTTTGTTATGTCACGTGTTCCCGTTTGTTTTTGTGCGTTTTTTTCAAGTTTTCTCAAAAAATCAAAAGAAAAGAAATAAGAAGAGACTTGTTCCAGGTTTGTGCGTTTATAATACACACAATTACGTTTAATCAAATGCAATGTGTTAAAAATTACCGGCATTTCAAAAGTAAGGTTATGTTTACTTTTTTCAGAGCTCCAAGAAATGTTTGTGATGTTTGAAGACAACCTTTTCCAGCATTTCACACCGCGATGTAAGTGCTCGTCGGTATGTAATTATTTTTGATGATTTTTTCAGTGAAATCTTGCGGAAATGTGTGCACAGTCCTGTCGGTGATTCTGTGTTTTCTCACACTTTTAACGCTTCTGGCGATATTTGCGGTCGATTTGACCCAAAAAGTCCACGTCGTTTACATCGATGGAGCGGCCCCCAGACACGTCACCAACGATAAATTCCTCAGTGTGGCCCTTGACGCCTCATTAATCGCAAACGGATTCAAACATCTCGATTTAAAGTACTCGCACGAGTTTCTCTCCAATTTTAATTGCACGAWATTGTAGAAATCCAAAAATTGTAAAAATGATGAAAGCCCTCGCCCCTGCGTARTTGCGAATTGGGGGCACAATGGCCGACAGACTCATCTTCTCCACAACCGAAMCAATGCATTTCAAACACTCGAATGGCAAAATTGATGGGGGCGAATGTGCATATGAGGGGAAATWCTGCGAGGCTTTAGAWAGGCCTAACTTTACGATGAACTCACACGAGTGGCTCCAATTAAATGAGTTGGCTCGAAAGACAAACCTTGAAATTATTTTTGATTTAAATTCTTTGCGGCGCTTTGATGACGGGGCTTGGGACTACACAAACGCTGAGACGCTGATCCGGTTTTCGAGCCAACATGATCTTCACGTAAACTGGGAGTTGGGGAATGGTATTTTTCACGTTCAAAACTATAAAGTTGCAAACTAAAATTGGTCAATTCTYAAATAATAATAATTAGTATTTTATTTTAAAAAGAAATCTTCTAAAATACTCGGTAGTTCACTTATAAAAAAGTTTAAAACAATTTTTTTTAAGTATCCCAAAGAAGGTCTCAAAAAAAGGTTTTTTTACAAAATCTTAACGAATTTCACGAAATTCATAGTCAGTTTTTTTTTTAAATAATTTGTTTAAGCTCAAAATTCTCAATAGACTTTTCTATCTATTGAATTAAAACTATGTACTTTACCTATACATAATTTTTTTTTAATCCCTGGAAATTAACAAAACGGTTTAGAAATTTCATAGAATTATCAGGATTTTTCTAAATACAAACATGAAATATTTTGAAACTATGAATATGTGTCAAAATAATTCTCCCAAAAGTTTTCATTTAAAGTAAATTTTATTTCTAGTAGTACAGAATCTCTTAGTATTCCAAATTTTTTATTTAAAGAACCAAAAATTATTTTAGATAAGAGAATCTCAAAAAGATCTCGAAAATTTATAAAAAAAAGAGAATTACCAATATGGTCAGGATTTTGAAAAAAAATTAATCTCAAAATTCAGTAATTCCACAAAATTGTTTAGAAATTTTTGATAATTCCACAGAATTATTAGGATTTTTCCTAAAAAGAAACATGAAATACTTACATACTGCGAATATCTCTCAAAATAATTTTTCTAAAATTTTATATAAATTAATAATAATACATTCCTAATGTTTTCAGTCAAAATAAATTTTATTTTCAGTGGTACAACAGAAATCCTTAAGAGAATTTTTACAGAATCTTAACGAATTCCACAAAATTCATAGTCAGTTTTTTTTTAATAATTTAAGTTTTCAAAAAATTCTCAACAGACTTTTCTATCTATTGGTATTAAAACTATGCACTTTACCTATACATAATTCTTTTTAAATCCCTGGACATTCACAAAACGGTTTAGAAATTCCATAGAATTATCAGGATTTTTCTAAATACAAACATGAAATATTTTGAAACTATGAATATGTGTCAAAATAATTCTCCCAAAAGTTTTCATTTAAAGTAAATTTTATTTCCAGTAGTACGAAAAAAATCTCCAAAAGAATTTTTACAGAATTTTAGTATTCCAAATTTCAATCTCAAAAAAGATCTCGTTAATTAAAAAAAAGAATTACAAATATGGTCAGGATTTTGAAAAAGTTTTAAACTCAAAATTCACTAATTCCACAGAATTATTATGATTTTTCCTAAAAACAAACATGAAATACTTACATACTGTGAATATCTCTCAAAATAATTCTTGTAAAATTTTATATAAATTAATAATAAGAATAATAATAATACATTCCTAAAGTTTTCAGTCAAAATAAATTTTATTTTTAGTAGTACAACAGAAATCCTTAAGAGAATTTTTACAGAATCCCAAAAAAGGATTTCAAATTTCTTATTTAATAAATTAATTGGAATTATTTTAGAGAAAAGAATTCCAAAGAAAATCTCAAAAGTAGTTATAATTTTTTTACAAAATTCCAACGGATTCCATGAAATTCATAGTCAGTTTTTTTAATTAATTTGTTTAAGCCCAAAATTCAGATTTTTCTATCTATTGATATGAAACTTTATGTACTTTACTTATGCATAATTCCTTTTAAATTCCCGGAAATCTACATCACGGTTTAGAAATTCTTGAAAATTCCACAGAATTATCAGGATTTTTCTAAATACAAACATAAAATATTGGGAAAGTATGAATATTTCTCAAAATAATTCCCCCAAAAGTTTTCATTTAAAGTAAATTTCTCAAGGGAATTCAAACAAAATTCCCAAAATTAAATTTCTTAAGATTCTACATTTATTATTCAATA